AAGTTATGGAACATGCCCAGACTCCAGCCAGGTTCTGTCTAGGTTCTCCAGCCAAGTTCTGTTTTTTTATTGTCTTGTTACATCTGTATTTATACAGTTGATTTTAATCCTGTCAATTTCTATTGCAAAGGTTAGGGCGTTTCTTATCTCCATTCCAGGGAGTAAAGATTATGTAGCTTAAGCATGATTGTTTGTAGTTAAAGTGATTAACTACCCGCCTGGCACGTAGTTAAGGAGTTTCATCCCCTCCCTGACTTCAGGGAAAAATCCCTACCTGGGGAAACAACCTTTCTGGGAGTGGTGACCTTGGTTAAAACACACAGCGCTAAGGGGAGCAAACATATTAAGAACAGTATGCTATATACGCCAGGTCCCTTGAAACATATGCTGTGCAGATGTTTCTTTCCTGCAGCGACTGTGTCAAGCAGGAAGGATGGACCAGCTTCCAGCAAGTTAATGGGGTTGGTGGTCTGCAGCTGAACGTCTCCAGGTGGAGAGAATGTTGGGGCCGGATGGTAGAGCTCCAAGGCCCCTGTGTCCACTCCCCACCCCCACCAGCTTTCCCCCTGTGGGCAGCAGCTTGGGGTGTTCCACCCCGCCACATGCCATACCTATCCGACTGGGTGCAGGGAGAGATTAGGTGGCTCCATGGTGGGCAGCTCTGTGGCTAGCGCCTTTGAATTATTCATTGCTGGGGGAAAAAGAAAAACCTCCCCCAGAAAGAGGTTTTTTCAAAAGCCTTCAGGTACTGGGAGGTTAGCAGGCCGGGGCCTTCCTTGTCTCTGCTGCCAGCATCCCATCCTCTGACCTTCACCAGCCTTGGCCTGACACCACCTGCGTCCCCCACTACCACCCCCAATTACTCATTCCTCTGCTCCCCATTGGGCGAGCGGTGCCTGCCGGCCAGGGGGAGAAACCACAAGGTTGGCTGGCAGGCACTGATCAGGCAATCGGGGTGGTCAGAGCACATTATAGTGACAGGTCCATTCTGGTCATTCGGTCATTCTGCCATAACGGTCTCTTAGGCATTTATATATAGATAGATAGTACTGAAAGTCCAAGCCACAGAGATCAGACAAGCAGAAGAAATAAAAGGCATCCAAATTGGAAAGGAGGAAGTAAAACTCTCATTATTCACAGATGGCATGATATTGGACATAGAAAACCCTAAAGACTTCCCCCCAAAAAACTACTAGATTTAATAAATGAATTTGGCAAAGTAGCAGGATACAAAATTAACACCCAAAAATCAATGACTTATCAAAAAAGACCCACACCAAGATACACCATAATTAAAATGACAAACATTACAGACAGAATCTTTAAAGGCAGCAAGAGAGAGACAGAAAGTTACATATAAGGTAGTTGCCATAGATTGTCAACTTTCTCAGTAGAAACACTTCAGGCCAGAAGAAATTGGCATGAAATATTCAAAGTAATGAAAAGCAAGGACCTGAATCCAAGACTACTCTATCTAGCAAGGTTACCATTTAAAATTGAAGGTGAAATAAAGACCTTCCCGGGGTGTGGGGCGGGGGGGAGCTAAAGGAGTACATTACCACCAAACCAGCATTACAATAAATGTTAAAGGGACTTTTTTAAGAAGAAGAAATTGAGAGAGGAGAGAACAGGTATAAAGAAAAAATGGCAATATATTAGTACCTATCAATAATAACCTTAATGTAAATGGACTAAATGCTCCAATCAAAATATATAAGATAGCTGAATGGATAATAAAACTGGACCCATATATATGCTGTCTACAAGAGACCCACCTCAGAACAAAAGATTCACACAGATTAAAAGTGAAGAGATAAAAACTGTGCTGAAGGCTGGGAGGTGGGTATAGCCCCCCTGACCTGGACCTATTAGATTTGAGGATCTGTGGAGACTGTAGAGGCTGCAGATCTGTAGGTGAGACAGGAGGGCCTGAGACTGAGAAAGGAGGCCCTGAGGGGACTGGCTGTGGACACTGTAGAGTGGGTGCAGCAGTGGAAGCCTGGGGCTGAAGTCCCTTGGTGAGCAGAAAGGGGGCTGGACAGTAGGTCCAGGAAAGAGGATCAACCCTGCCCACTTGAAACACAGGGAAGGTGCCCTCTTTCCCACCAGCAAAACAGCTGCTTCTGACCTGACCTGCAGCAACCAGAGGCAAAGGGTAACAGCCCACGGAGGGAAATCTGTGCCCCTGCAGGTGACAGAGAGGCGGTACCAGCAAACCAGGCAGAGCTGAAGCATTAGAAGGAGAAGGACCGGGCCCTGCCTTCTACAATATACTAACACCATCCCAATAGGAGTATGATGAAACCATCCTGCCCCCAACCAGGATACCCCGCAGAGCCCATAGGGGAATGGAGTACAGCTCAGAACAGGGACAATCAAGTGGTGAGACTCAAGGTAGACCCAGCCTCCTGGCTAAGGAGTCCCCACCTGCTGGACTATTTGGGGTTTCAACCATTCGGACGTCAATCAGCTTGCCCAAGACCAGAAAGGGACAGTGACACAGTGACCTGCACCAGAGAAGCTCCCATGAGGCTCAGGTTAGTCACACCAAAGACCAGATTCAACAACATCAGAGCAAAATCCAGCGAGCCCCACAAATAGTGCACCCAAATGTTTCTGAGTGTGTGAGTGTGCATGTGAGTGTGTGTGTGTGTCGGTGTGTGTGTGTGTGTGTGTGTGTGTGTGTGTGTGTGTTTGGTGTGTGTGTGGGGGGTGGTTTTTGTTTCTTTTTCCCCTATTTCCTTTCTTCTGTTATATCTTGCATATCTCTAATTTCTCTCTTTCCTTTTATTCTAGTCTACTTTTGACTATTCTTATTGATTTTTCTTATTTTATTTAGTTTTTCTCTTTTCTCTCATTTTTTTCTTTTACTTTTCCAAGTTACCTCCTGGTTCATAGGTCAACACTCAACCAATGAGCCACACTGGCCGGCAGGGATGTCCACTTTCAACACTTCTATTCAACATAGTATTGGAAGTTACAGCCACAGACATTGATTAATAAAATTACATCGGTTTCAAATGTACAGTTCCATGGTACACCATCTGTATATTGCTTTGTGTACCCACCACCCAAAGTCAAATCTTCCTTTGTCACCATATATTTAACCCCTTTAACCTTTTACTACCTCCCACCTTTTCTCTCTGGTAACGATCATGCTGGAGGATTGTGAAAATTACTAGTTGTTCTCTCTTACCTCCTTTCTCCCTCCTTGCAGGGCAAAGACCTGATAGCTATTTTCTCTTCTCCTGGAGAAGTGCGTCATTGGCAGCACCCAGCTAGCTCCAGCCCCTCCTCTCCCCTCTTGACTCTTTCTCTCTTTTTCTCTCTTTCTCTCTCTAAAATAAATAAATGATAAAAAAATTTTTAAAGTGCATTTGTAATAATAAAGGGTGTTTTCCTATGGATCCATCCTTCTCCTTCTCCAGTGAGCAGGAAGCAGCCAATTCATGAAACCTAAATTGAAAAACTTAGATAATGGAAAATGAGAAACTTGAGAATCATAGCCTGCTGTGAAATTTGCAAGGTTCAGAGGACCAAAATTACCCCTCTCTTTTTCTCAATCATTGGTCCTTCAAGTGTGGCCAGTTTTCTTTTCTTGTGGTGGAGAAAGATCTGTGTAGCATTTAGTTTAAGAAACACAAAACCAAGGCTAATGTGTATGAATGTTCAGATTGTACACTGATTGAAGATGCTACTTCTAAGGGAAAACATACTGACTTATTTGAGAGTAAGAAGGTGACTCTGAGACTCTTAGCTGGGTCTTAGAGTAGACCCCAGATCTGTCAGAGAGAGCCAAACTTTCAAAAATTCATAGCAAATGAGTTCACGCATACACTCAGGAGAAGGTGCAATCATATACTTGCATGCACACATATGCACACACACTTGTATATAGCTGTGCCATGACCAAAGTTCTGCCAGCATTCACTGACGTGTTTTTCTCCCACAAAACAGAGTTCACTGAGAGACCTGATTCTTGTTCCCCAGATGGGATCTGATCAATGCCCTGGCATTTGTAGTGTGGATTCTTGTTCCCCAGATGGGATCTGATCAATGCCCTGGCATTTGTAGTGTGCATGAATGGACAAGAGTATGCAGTGAAGCCAGGTCAGCTGCCTGCCAGGGCTCTGGAAAAATCCTTGGACAGAGCTGTTCATATTGTATATAGTGATACGAAGTTGTCATTTTTTACTTAAAAGGAAGGGGTGCTCTTTAAGAATCTACCCAAAGGACAGTGGGCTATGTATAGCCATCCCTGCACAGATCTGTGTCTGAGTACTTGCTGAGCACGTATTGTGTTCTCTGGGGTCTCAGATAGAGACTTAAACTTTCTGATCCTCAGCTGTGTCACCTGTAAAATGGGTATGAAGACAGCTCCCTTCCCATAGGTTTGTGAGCATTAAGGAAGGTGAGTGTGTAACGCTTTTAGCACAGAGCTGACACAGAGTACTTGCTCAATAAATAATAGCTGTTACTATTATTATTATC